GTGTCCACCCTGGCTGGCAGGTGGAGAACCAGGAGCTCAAGCAGCGTGTCCTGTCAGAGCCCGTGGYTTACTCAGACAAGTTCAGCCAGGCCAGCAGGGACTTCTGTGAGGCCCTGCTGGAGAAGGACCCGGAGAAGCGCCTGGGCTGGAGAGATGGCTCCTGCGACGGGCTGCGGGCCCACGCCCTTTTCAAAGACATCAGCTGGAGGCAGCTGGAGGCCGGTACTGTTGGGCACCTTGGGCCTGAGGGACTGCGTGGCCCTTGCATCCCTGCCTTGTCCAGTGGTGGGACCCCAGCTACCTCTTGCCCAGCCATGCCACCCAGCCCTCTGTCCATCCCCAGCCTGCCGGGCCTGGGCACTGCAGTGGGCGTGGGACCCTGAGTTCAGCTGAGCTTGGTGTCCACTCTGTGGCTCTGAAGGCCAGAGCCATGGGAGGCAGGGTCCTCACACTGTGTGGAGAGGTGAGGTCATGACCATGGCTGTCCTCAACTGTGTGTGTCCACCTGTGTCCTCACCGTGTCTTCAAGGATGATGTGCACACTTGTGAGTCTGTGTGTATGTGTGCTCCTGGGTGTGTCTATGCGTGTGTGTGTCTGGGAGGGACGTGGAAGGCCCAGCTGTCCCTCCAGGAGCCTGGTGGAAGACCTGGATCATCACGATACAACTGTGCCTAGGACAGAGCCGGGGCCGGGAGCCAGCTCAGCCTCCTGGGGGGAAGCTGTCCCGGGAAGGGTCAGGCAGGGGAGTGGGCTCTGYGTGGGAGAGCCGTCAGGACACAGGCCCCAGGAAGGACGCGGGTCCCGGGAGCCCCAGGACTGTGCTGCGCCAGACCAGGCTGAGTCTGGGTGTCCAGAGCAGCTGGTGGGGAAGGAGCACACAGAGGCCTTGGAGGGGCAGCAGCTGGCCGCCAGCCTGCACCCGCGTGTCTGTGTGAAGGCAGGGGCTAGGGGCCCCCAAGGACCTGGTGCACCGGGGGAGGGTCTGGGGGTCTGCACACATGGGGCTCGTCAGGGACTGGCATCCTGCATCTGCTGGCTCCTGGGCATGTGAGCAGAGGCCATCTTGGGAGGGAGGGTCGGTGGGGTCAGTCAAGTCCACCTGGGCACGAGCCAGGGGCTCTGGGCCACAGGGAGGTTGAGGGAGCTGCTGAGGGCTGAGGTCCCCCGGGGCCAGAGCAGGAGGGCTGGGGAGCGTGGGGCGAGGGCTGGTGGCTCATGGTACACTGCCCAGCCCGGCTTCAGGCGTCCAGCTATCCTCGCAGCACAGAGCACTGGACCCCAGGCCAGGATCTGAGAGACGCTGCTTTTCTCCTTGGCTGCTGGAGGCCCATGCTCTGTCCTCCTCACCTATGCCTCCTCTCACCTGCCCTCCTCACCTGGGCCTCCTCTCACCTGGGCCTCCTCTCACCTGTCCTCCTCACCTGGGCCTCCTCTCACCTGGGCCTCCTCTCACCTGTCCTCCTAACCTGGGCCTTCTCTCACCTACGCCTCCTCTCACCTGCCCTCCTAACCTGGACCTCCTCTCACCTGGGCCTCCTCTCACCTGCGCTCCTCACCTGGGCCTCCTCACCTGGGCCTCCTCTCACCTGTCCTCCTAACCTGGGCCTTCTCTCACCTAGGCCTCCTCTCACCTGTCCTCCTCACCTGGACCTCCTCTCACCTGGGCCTCCTCTCACCTGCGCTCCTCACCTGGGCCTCCTCACCTGGGCCTCCTCTCACCGGGGCCTCCTCACCTGGGCCTCCTCACCTGAGCCTCCTCTCACCTGCGCTCCTCACCTGGGCCTCCTCACCTGGGCCTCCTCTCACCTGCGCCTCTCTCTGTACCCCACAGGAATGCTGACTCCTCCCTTCATCCCTGACTCCAGAACTGTCTATGCGAAGAGCATTCAGGACGTGGGTGCCTTTTCCACTGTCAAGGGTGTGGCCTTTGACAAAGCAGACTYGGAATTCTTCCAGGAATTCGCCTCAGGCAGCTGTCCCATTCCCTGGCAGGAGGAGATGATCGAGAYGGGCATCTTCGGGGAGCTGAACGTGTGGCGCCCTGACGGGCAGATGCCGGACGACATGAAGGGAGTCTCCGTGGGGGAGGCGGCTCCCGTGTCCAAGTCAGGACTGTGTCTGGTCTCCTAGCCTCGTTCCGAAAGGAGCAGCTCTGGGTGGACATGCAGACCTCTGGGTCAGCCCATGGCCCCCAATGGCGGGCACCAGTTCCCTTCCCCCTCCAGACCCCTCAAGGACGAGAAGCCGGCCCAGCCCAGGAGCCCCGGGCCCCCCAATGGGGTCGTCCACCTTCTCGTCTTATTTCACTCAAAAGAGGCAGGAAAACATTCCAGGTGCCATAAGGCAGCAACAGACGGGCCCAAGGCCGTGCAGAGATGCACGAAGGGACGCCCTTCCGGGCAGCGCTGGCCAAGGTGCAGTCAGAAGCCTGGGGCAGCGTGGGTCTCCTGGGCCGTTGCTGACACCCCAGCCCAGGTCCCTCAGGAGGAGGCCAGCTCTCAGTGAGATGAGGGCGGGCAGACCACAGCTGCAAGAGGCTGGACTCTGGGATGGTCCCRGACTCTGGACTGGCCCTGCTCCCAGCCACCGCACTCCAGGGCTCCCACTCGGGGACACTAAGTCTTGTGGGAATTGATTGAGGAGGGAAGATGGCGGCGAAGGGAGAGCATCACCCCAGTGCGCAGCGTCACTGAGCGGGAGAAAGACGATGTGAATYGCCTGAAGGCTATCTTGTTGGGAATTTCCAGTGAAATTGAGGTGCTCCAGAATCTAGTGGACAGATTTCCATCGTGCGA